ACGCATCCACAGCACAGGCCCAAGCACTCACAGTACTGGACGGAGTCCCCGTCGCCTCCCGACGCGACGGGCTTGAAAGTCGGGTTCGCATCGCAGTTCGCCCCACAGCTCCAGTTGCTCGTCTCGGACGCGGAGCAGTAGCCCGCGCTGGCGTAGTACGTGTACGGACTGAACGCAGTGGTCACAGTGGAGGAGAGCGCGGTGATCGTTCCGCTGGACGACCTCACCTGGAGATGCAGCGCGGGGACGGCTGCAGCTAGCCCAGCTAGCAGGGCAACACCGAGGGCAAAGGAAGGCACCATAGCTAACGCGCGTGCAAGCACTGGAGCGAATCAATCCAGGAGAGACTGGAGAACAACAAGAGAGCGATTAGGCCATGACATTTTTATACTCGCGCCGAGCAAAGAGCACTGGTGGTGGTGGTAGACAGGCAGTGCCGAGAGCTGGCATGCTGGCTGATCTGCGGGCGTAGAACAAAGAAAGCAACAACTGTAGATCATGAGGGGGATGCAGAAGAGCGCGTGCGTCGGCGGCAGAGGCCAATCCCGCGCCACCGATCAGTGTTTGATCGACACCGCAGCGTCGGGCATCCCCACCCGCCTCACCAGCCCCAAGTGGGCTCACACATCCTTCGCCACCATTCCAGCGCCCGAGCCCTCCTTCAGCGCGAGCGCGCTCGCCGACTCGCAATCCAAATCCCTCACCTCTTCCCGTCCAGCCCCACCCAGCCCAGCCCTCTCCCGCAGCACGAAAACGAGCCATCCTCCTCCTCGTCCACAGCAATGGTGACAGCGACGCCCGCACAAAGCAAGCGGTGCTCGCTCGGCGTCAAGGTCCGTGATTCCGCGTTCCTGGTGGGCGATCCGCGGTGCGTTGGCCTAGGACCCGACGTGCCCAAGCCTAACCGCGCACGATACAACAGCAGCGCGTCCGACTCCTCGTCTGCTGGCTCGAGCGAGGACGACACGCCCGACGACGTGCGCCCGGGATGGGGCTCGTTCCGCTGGAACACCTTCAGCAGCCACTTCCTCTGGAGCGACGGCGGCGAGGCTTCCTCATCTGCCGATGCGGGCCCCTCGCGCACGGACTTTGAGCGCAGTTCCGACGCGAGCTCGCTGACGGAGGAAGACGACGACCC